GCATGCATGTGTCCTTGGCTTTACCACCGTTGATATGCGTACCAAATGGCTGATAGTTGCGGGGGCAACTCCCGTGGGGGCGGCGGGGTGGTCAGGGGACCGTTTCTTTTTGAACCGGCGATAACCTGGGTTACTCGGGGAGGGAGGGAGGGAGGGGGGGGGCGGGCCGATAACCTAACCTTCGCGCTGTGGGCAGCCCTGCATATGCCCGCGCGCACCGGTGCTGCGGCCCCTAATGCTGCTACCGATGCTGCCGCGATGCTACGATTGGTTCTGCGACAGTGCGGGCGCCGACTGAGAATGCCTAGGGGCGGGATGTGGTTGCTAAGCGTAGCCGCGAAGTCTTGTGTACACTATGTATAGAACACGCGTGCACCACACTGCCTGTGGGCATTACAAGACATGCGTGCGCCACAACGGTCTTGCACACCACAGGTGCTGCTGCAGCAGAGGCTTCTGCGTGCACCACAGCGCCTGTGTACACCCCGATGCCTGCGCACAACACAGGAGCACCGTGAACCACAGCGTATGGCGAACATTTGCGCCACAGCGCTTCCGCGCACCTCCAAGGTCCCGACGGTGCCCAGATTTGGAAAATCCCAGAAGGCCCGAACGTATCAAATTCAATATGTAAATGATTTGTGGCTATTGATTTTTCTGGCCCGGGGTACGGTCCCTCTCCATTTTGGGCCGACCATGCTAGTGTACATCACGGTGCTTGTCCAGTGTACACCACGACGCCTTTGTACAACACAGCTGCTTGTGTACACCGCAGCGCCTGTCTAGACAATAGAGCCTGTGTACACCACAATGCCTGTGTACACGACAGAAGCCGTGTGCACCGCAGCGCCTGTGTACACTGCGGTGCTTGTGCACACCACAGGAGCCGCGTGTACCACAGCGCATGGCGAACATTTGCGGCACAGCGCTTCCGTGCACCTCTAAGGTCCCGCTGGAGCCCAAATCTGAAAAAAACCTGGGGGCCCGGCCCGAACGTATCAAATTCAAAATGAAGGTTATTGCGATTATTGATTTTTCTGGGCCGACCATGTCTGTGTACACCACAACGTCTGTCTAGCGTGCGCCACGACGCCTTTGTATATCACAACTGCTTGTGAACACCGCAACGCCTGTCTACACAACACTGCTTGTGTACACCGCAACACTCAGCAGCCGTGTGCACCGCAGCGCCTGTGTACACCACACACGCTGCCTGTGTACACGACGACACCTATGTGCACCACGTTTGCTGCTTCAGTACCATACTCGTGCACCAAAGTGCTTGCGAACACCACAAAGGTGCGTAAAATTCCGGGGGGGCCCGCGGGACCGAACTCCAGAAAATCGCCGGGGATCCGAACGTATCAAATCCAATGTGTCAGCTATTCGTGATTATTGATTTTCTTGCGCAGGGAACGGTCCCGTCTTTTGGGCCCACAACGCCTGTGTAAACCATAGCGAATGTGTGCACAACAGCGGATGTGTACACCGCAGCGCCCGTGTACACCACAAGGTGTGCTACACCGCAATGACCGTGCACCACAATGTGTCTGTACACCACCATGCCTGGGATCCTTGCGTCAATGACCATTGATGTTGCAGGAACAGTTGTGCACACTATCAAGTCTGCCTTCACCACATTGACAAGAGCATCACGTTGCCCGCGTGAACCGCGCAACCTGCGTGCACTGATGCTTGCGTGCGCCACAATGCCTGCGTACACAACAGATCCTATTGGAACAACAACAAATGCGCGCACCAAATCGCCTCGCTGCCTGTGCACAACGCAATGCCTGTGTACGCGTTGCTGACGTGCGCCTCCAGATGCCCATGGACGACGTCTGTCGTCGTCTGTCGTCTGTCGTCGTCTGTCGTCGTTCGTCGTCTGTCGTCGTCTGTCGTCGTCTGTCGTCTGTCGTCGTCTGTCGTCGTCTGTCGTCGTCTGTCGTCGTCTGTCGTCGTCTGTCGTCGTCGTCGTCGTCGTCGTCGTCGTCGTCGTCTCCCCGTGCCACTCCAAGCCCCAACGATTCGCCAACGTGCATCCAAACACCAGCATGCTGTGGCGAACACCACCGCACCGTTGAACACAGCGCTCCCTGCGAGTTCTCTGCGCCCCCCCGGACCTGCACAACCGGCTAGGGTAAGATCCTGCATGGGGGGCCGGGGGGGCGAGCCCGATAACCCGGGTTATCGCCGGACCCTGAAAAAAACAGTCTCCAACTACGCGATGCAGTCTGGAGACAGCATTCTCTGTACGTCTCACATGCGATGACATCGCCAAGGATGTCGCCATGATGCGGAAAAAATGCCGAGGAGAGAGCGTGATCCACCGCCGCTTTAATGTGGAAAATTCCCACCCCTCTTTCTCCGGAACCCGGGGTCTCCCCCCTCCTTCGAAAATCCGCCCCCCCTGCTGGACCCCCCCCTCCCCCCCTGTTCCCCCTAGAAAAACTACCCCCCCAAACCCTCCCCCCCCCCTCCGGACAACGGGGGGTCGGGGTCACTAATTACTGGCTCCGGAAACTACTGGTTCGAACCCCCCCCCCAGAAAACCGGAGGGGGGTCACTACCGGTTCGAACACCCACCCCCCACCCCCCTCCAGAAAACCGGGAGGGGTCATTGTCCTCCCCACTACCACTGCTGTCCCCACCACTGTCCCACTGTCCCCACCGTCCCCACCACTGTCCCACTGTCCCCACACCACTGTCCCCACCACCACCGTCCCCACCACTGTCCCAGTCGCCACCACTGCCCCACTGTCCCCACTGTTCCCACCATGGTCCCCGCTGTCCCCACAAGTGCTCCCACCAGTGTCTGTCCCCAATCTCCCCACCATTGTCCCACCACGGTCCTGCTCTCCCCACTGTCCCCACTGTCCCCACCACTATCCCACTGTCCCCACTGTTCCCACCTTTGTCCCAGTCCCCACTGTCCCCGCCGCTGTGCCACTGTGCTGTCCCACTGTCCCGCTGTCCCCTCACAACTGTCCCCACCACCACCGTCCCCACCACTGTCCCACTGCCCGCACCACTGTCCCGCTGTCCCTTGTCACTACCCCCACCACCACCGTCCCCACCACTGTCCCAGTATCCCCCCCACTGTCCGACTGTCCCGAGGAGCGGATATCGTTTGCCGGCGGCGAGGGGGGGGGACGGGGGGAGGGGGGGGTTCGAACCGGTAGTGACCCCCCCCCTTTCATGATGGACTGGAGGGGGGGGGGGTTCAAACCTGTAGTGACCCCCCCCGTTTTCGAGGGGGGGGGGACGGGTTGGGAACCCCCTGTGACCCCCCCCCCGTTTTCCGCCAGCAGCGGTAGAACACAACGTGCATCCGTTTAGATTGAATATGGTTTGGTCGTTACGCTTGGAAAGCACGTCGCAGCCCTTGAACAACATATCCGCCACCGCGCCCCCTGGCCCGTTGAGGAGTGGCATGGGTTCTGTAATCCTTTTTCGGTCTAACGAACCACACCCCGCCCACTCTCGCAGCGACCACCCGCGTGCATCGCCCCCCTTCGCCGCCCTCCCTCGAAGAAACAAAATGCCCGCGCTCACGAGGCCAAGAACTCCAAATCAGGCACGAGGGATCCGCGCTTCCGAGTCCCCTAGTTAATCCTTTTGAAGGCCATGGACCCGCACCCCCGAGGCTCCAGGACGGCCGCGGCAGGCAAGCCAGGCCGCCACGATGACCCAAGATGCCTCTCAAACGGCTCCAGCTTGCCCAAGATGGCCCAAGACAGCCTCGCCATGGCCCAGGATGTCCGGATACGGCCACCCAAGAGGGCCGCAAGAGGACCCCCGTCAGGGCCCGAAGAAGACAATTCATAAAGTGTCCTCGAATCTTTCAAAAATGTGTGCCTCTTCCCCTTTTTCTGGGCTTCCTGCAGCTCCTGACGGCCCGAAAGGCCTCCAATCGGACCCCAAGGCGGCTTCAGAGAACCCCCAAATTGTCAGATACTTATCCAAGACTGCCTCAAGACAGCCCAGGGACCCCTGAATCGCCCAGCATGGCTCCAAGGGAAGTGCAGGACGGCCACAACAAACTCCTCGGCGGCCCAAGACGGCCCGAAGACGGCCCCTCGACGGCCGCAAGAGACTCCCCAGACGCCCAAGAGAGCCCCAAGACGGCCCAAAGTTGCCCAAAGGACCGACTGCCCCATAAGAGGCCACAAGAAAGAACGGAAAAAAGAGAAGAAGCCGACAACAAGAGAACCCCCGACACGACGCTGAAGAGTGTCATATGTTACGGCTCTCCCAGGCCTCGGGACACTAGGGGTCACAAGTTTCTGTGTACTGCGCGCCCCCCAACATTGGCCACCCAAGGTAATGGGCTGATACAGCGGCGGGACTTGCCGCAGGCAGCTGGAATGAATCTGTCAATCCTGCCTGGCCGCGGGCTTCGTCATAGAACAACTCAAAATCCGACATGCATTTTAGCAAGTGCGTGTTGACTCTCAGACGAATGCGGAAAATGTCCCACCAAGAGTGAGCGTGCCATGTCCACGAAGACCGGATTGGTTTGTTAGCCATCTCGCGATCACGGGTAATCATGACGCTTGGGTTGCCACACTCACTGCTGTACATTCGGGGATCCTCTTCAAAGCGAAGGCAGTGACCCGAACGGGTTCAACGTCATATCTGACAACGTTGATTACCAGTGCCTGCTAGAGAGCACCGCCGCTGACCCTGAAGCTTTCAAAATTCAAGAAACGACATTCGCATTGTATGCGTTGTTCGCTTTTCCACAAAAGCTGAGACTCAGAGGTATGTCTTAGCACCATGCGTTGAGATGCGATGTTTCGAGCCACGTCAACGCCGGCGGGTATCATGTTTCAGCGGAAACTGGCCACCCACAATTCATCCGACAATTCTGCTGAATGGTGGGTATCCGCAATGCTGTACCAAGCTTCCCGGTGATGTCTGAAGTGGGGATCCGCACTGCTTCTCTAGGCGCGGACATACTGACCACTGGGAAGAACGCGCAGATGGCGGCTGTCACGGGCCCGCTGCTGATGCCCCTGCAGTCCGTGAGACTGTCGACCACGTCCGAGGAGATCTTGCGCACCTGCTGGAGGCTGCTACTCAGAAACCTTGCCGACGTCAGGTCTCGCGACTGCTATCGCGATTGCCGGCGTGCAGACCCTCGAGGCAGCTCCGCTGCCAGAGCGGAGGTACGATACTGCTCATCTCCTCGAGTCCCGTGTGTACAGGGGCCGACCGCCCACCCTGCACACACGCGAGAACTCCTCTCACAAGAACAGATGATATACCGATCTGGTGTCTGCTGCAGAGGGCCACCGAATATTCGTTGAAGCAAGGATGCACGGAGAACAAAATTGAGATGAGGAGCATGAGGAGTATGAGGAAGAGGGATGGAGCAAAAAGGCCAGAGGAGGAGGGGAGGACGAGGAGGCGCGCAGAGGAAGAGGGAGGGAGGGAGGGAGGGGAGGGGGACAGGATGGGGAGGGAGGAAGGGGAAACTGACAGGGCGTAGAGGAGGAGTGAGGAGGGTGGAAGAGGGAGGAGCGTAGAGGAGGAGGGGGCAGCGTGAAGGAAGGAGGGACGGGGAGGAGCACAACAGGAGCGAAGGACAAGATGAACAAAGGGAAGGATGACAAGGCCCCAGCCGGCCCAGCGGGGACCCACAGAGGCACTAGGCGCCACGTCATCAACAAAGAGGATACAATGACCGAGTAGACGAAATACCTCCGCGCGCGCGTGCGTTACGCGGTCGAGGGGGGATGATGTTCCTCCTCCTCCTCCCTCTCCTCCTCCTCCTCCTCCTCCTCCTCCTCTTGGTTTTCCTCCTACTCCTGCTGCTACCTCGTCCCTCATCCTCCCCCTTGTCCTGTTCCATCGTCCAACATTCCCTTCTTCTCCTCATGTTATTCCATCGTCCCTCCTCCTCCTCCTCCTCATCCTCCTCCTCCTCCTCTTTCCTCTCCTCCTCCTCCTCCACCTCGTCAACCCTCCTCCTCCTCCTCCTCCACTTCCTCCTCCTCCTCCTCCTCCTCCTCGTCAACCATCCTCATCCTCCTCATCCTCCTCGTCCTCCTCCTCCTCCTCCTGTTCCTCGTCCTCCTCCCCCTTCCCCTCCTCCTCCACCTCCTCTTCCTCCACCTCTTCCTCCACCTCCTCCTCCTCCTCCTCCTGCTGTTGCTTAAGTTCGGGGCCCTCCGCCAGCGCGCGGGTAGCTGACAGGGCAAAGGCGACGGAGTCGCCAAGGGCGGGCACGTCGTCCACATCAAGACTACGGCAAACAGCGCCATGGGCAGAGCCGCGACGGAAACGTTGACTCGGCGCACACCGGGGGCCCGCGACCCTGCGGTCATCGCACAAGGCGAACTGGGTGGCACCCTCCAGCGACAGTCCCCGCGAGCAGCGCCGCAGCCACATTTTGTCACTACCTGTGAGTTCCTGGATGACTACCTACCAGGCCACCCCAACCCAACCCGAAGACCCGACTTTCGGGTTGGGGGGGGGGACGGGCTTCATATGTGTTTTCTCAACGTTCCCCGACCCCCCCCCCACTGGAAATGGAGGGCAAATTTGGGCCTTCGGGTTGGGTTGGGGGTGGTTTGGTAGGTAGTGACTGGAAGACTTCGCTGACGCGCTCCAACATGGGACCCCCGCGGGGCCCAGGAACGCGGACCCCGCCACCGAGTCAACGAAGTAGCATGCCCCGAACCGCCTGAGACAGAACAACCTTCAAGGATCTGCACCCACAGAACTGGATATGAATCCCGGCCCCCATACGTTCGCGAACATTCTCCAGATGATTACCTTCCTCGCCAGCCTTTCGACACTTAGAACAATGGCGCCAGCTGACCCGCGAACATCGCGACAAATTCGCTCAGGCTGGCTGAAAAAAACAGCGAAGCTATGTTCCATCTGAGATGCCAAACCTAGTCGGGCCGCCTGGGCCAAGGCCAGGACAGGCACCGCGCGCGCATCGCACGGCGGTCTCGTCTTCGGATCCACTGAGAGAAGAAACTCCAGCGCCCTGCGCCTCAAGGCCAAAACCGAGACTAAGACTAAGCTCTCCCAAAACAACACGGCGGCCGCGCGCGGCCGAAGGGGGGGGCCCGTTCCAGCCACCTGGAACACCCGTTTCATGGCACTGCTGAGCCTCCCCACCGCATCTTACTGCGTGACCGAAGCCTCTGCAAACGCTTCCGGGGTGCTTTCGGTCCTGCGGCGCCTGTCTGCATGGCCCGACCGCGTCCGAGGCCCCGCCCTGGCGCGATCCCCATGGACTTCCACTTCTTCGAATGGGCAGCAGCGACGAGGCGCGCGGCAGCGTGGCAACTCTGAATCGAGCCCACGGCCACCCAGATGACCGAGAGCAGCTTCTCGAGCTGCGGGCCCAAAAAAGACAGCGGACGGCGGCAAAACTATCTCGATGCGCGCGCGACTGCCTGCAGCAGGGGCAGTATCATCATCAACTGGGCCATGCAACATGTCGCTGGGACTCAGCTCTTCAGCCATGTCAAATGGTTCAATGAGCACGGCGCGACCACCGTCGTAGCAGCGCCGACCTCAGCCACGACCCCTAGGACATCCATCGCAGGCTCGCCGGCACCCCCCCCCACCCATCGCTTTGGCGACGCGTCGACCGCGATAAAACGACAGCAGCACACGCGCAGCATGCCAAGATTAAATCGGTGCTCGCGCGGCAGACCCCTCGTTAAATCGACGAGGCAGAAACCTGCGCTGCCCCCAGCACAGGCGCGCCGCTCGACGGCACTGCCCTGCCCCCGCGCAGCGAAGCAGGGCCAGCCAGTGGCAGCACGCATCTTGCCCCACGCGGCGCATCTCATCCAGGGGCGCCTTGGATAAGGCGCGGGCGGGGGCGGTCGCCACCCGCCGTTCGGGCGCGGGGGCGGCGGTGAGAAGGGCGCTCGGGCAAGCGCCTGCGAACTCCAAGTTTGGCGAGATCGCGCCCAAGACCGCCGGCTGCCCGCCCGACACCCTGTCGACATCCCTGGACCTCCAGGCATCAACCTCAGCAGCAGCCCTCTCCGCGACCGCCCCAATGGCCACGCGGGCGCCCCGCGCCGAGCGCCCCTCCAAGCGCGCAACCAGGATGGCCCCCCCTCTGGCCTCAGCGCGAGCCTGGATCTGACGCGCGCGGCGATCGGCGGGGCCTGGGAACTTGCCGGCGGCCCCCCCGCGCATCCAGAACTTCCCCAGGAAACATGTCGCGCGCCAACCTGCCCCCCGGCCTCGAGGAGCAGCGAACTCACGCGCGCCAGCGCCGCTCGATTCGGAGCCAGCCTATCGGGCCCCGCGCGAACTCGCGCGCCAAGCCGGCGCCCCGGGCCCCGCGCCCGCCGCCTCAACCCGCCCCCCGCGCCCCGAAGCAGACTCGCGCTCGAGGGCGCGGGCGACGCCTTCCGCTCCGCCCTGGCCCCCCATCGCCTGAAACGGCTCGAGGAAGGCGCGACGCGCGGCGCGGAAACTGCTTTGGCCCCGTTCGACCGCCTTCAGAAGCCCCGCAGACTCGGCGCCCCCCCGTCGAGCGCCCCCTCGACGCGCCGGCGCGAGCACGCCGGTCTCCGAGAGCACCCCCGCCCGACTTTCTGATTGGGCCCGCGCCGGGGCCGCCTGACCATCTGGGCTTCGGGATCGCGACCCCCCCGACGTCCGCCGTTGTCGTTTCCTCTGGGCAAGGGGGGGCGACGGAGGGGCGCGCCGCGGGATTCTGGGGCGGCCCATTGGACAGGCCCGAATACTTTGACAGGGTCGAGGGGGCAATTTGTTCGGCGGCCTCGGCGCTCACGGCGCAAGGTAGTCGGCGCGCCGCGGACAGTCCCGCGGGCGGCGTCGCGTTTCCAAGCTGCGCCAAGACACCCCACCACGGACCAGCGCGGAGATTGGTGGAGGCCCACGTACTGGAATGACAAAAATAAACCCGCACTGCCAGACATGCAAACATCACAAGGTGGCCGATCGCGCTCCAAAATCTGACCGTGGACATTCACGCGAAGGAGGTGGGTCTCATGATATGCGCCGAGATAAAACCACCCCGCCCCATCTCCCGGTTACTATCAGGCCGCGCTCACATGGCAACATAACGTTTCCACGCAGCGACGCTGGTCAGACGCCCAGCGTCGGCTGAGCAACCGCGTGCCCGCCTAACTTCCCAAGCGACGCTTCGCTCTCAACTCGCCCCGATGGGTCGACAACAACTCCGTGAAGCGCCACGGCGAGACTTGACCCCCCCGTTGAAACTGCTTCGCCGCGGGCCCGACAGTGGGGCGGCAAAATTCTGCACAGAAGAACTCTACCTGACCAGACCCTGAAGACTTCCCCCTCTGCCCTGGCCGAGCAGACCGCTGCTCGAAAAACGCCGCGGCCCCGCTAGAGGCCAGGACTCGGCCGGGGGGGGGGCTAGATGGGCAGTGGGAAGCAGGCGCGGGGAGCTCCGACATCGGAGGGCGCGGGGCCAGGCCGGCGCCCGAGCGCCGGGGGGGGGGCAGGGCAAAAAGAACACCACAATCCCACGGCCGCCCGAGGCCCACCGGGCCCCGAGAAGGCGGCAGCGCCTCCACCTCGACCTCGAGCCCCATCCCGCCCCGCCCCCTCGCCGCCACGCGCATCGGCACCGTCAGCTCGCACGCCAAGCCGCGCAGAGGGCCCGGCCGCGGATCAGATCCGCCGCTGCTGGCCTCGAGCTGGTCAGAAGCAACAGGCGTTGGAGGTGCGACACAATTACTCACGGGCCTCTGCGTCTGCCCTCTGCCCGCCCTCGCTGTTCTCCCGCTTCATCTGGAACCCTTCGATGCACTCGGCGCGCTCGCGCTGAAGCCCCCACGCCGTCTCCTCGGCTAACCCGAACAACTGATGCGCCATATCCTGGACGCCCTTTTGCGGACGGGCTCCTTGCCAGCCGCTGCTTCCTTCCTGCCCGCCCCCGTGAACTCGCATATGTCCGTGGTACCGAACATGTCGTCGCAGCCATTGTGGCCGATGCATGACGCGCCGTTTTGCAACAGCCCGTCGCACGAAGTTGGGCGTCTCAGACTCCTCTAGCTTCTCCTTAGCCTTTGTTGGCCACTGTGTACATCTGGCCCAGCAGCACGGCACTCGCTGTCCGCCGCCTGGAGATTGGACGTGGGCTTGGCCCCCTTGGCCCAGCACCTCCTAACTCAGCCTGTAGAGATTGTAGACGGCGTTGTTGAGCATCCACCACTCCAGCTGCTCGACCTGTTGGTGTGTTTGTGCGCACACGCATGCAGTGGAGGCCTCTTGGGGGCCTTGGTCTCACCCTGCTTGAACTCCCGGGACTTCTGGTACTTCGATACCAACACTGAATCCCCTCCGTATTTGCCCAGCGCCACGAACTGCGAGATCTCCGCAATGGTGAACTCCTTCTCGCATTTGCCCAGCCCAGGAGGTGGCAGGAGGCCGACCGACAACGGGGAGTCGGGTTCGCCCTCGGGAGACAGCAGCTCCACCTCGTCGCCCACAGAAACGTCACAAACAAATGCTGCACTGAACGCATCGCCACCTGTTCCGTGGTCGTCCCTGCGCTTCGACTTGGCCCAGGAAAACCCGCCCTCTTCTCCCGATCATCATGCCACGACAAACGCTTCTGGTGTTCCCCAGCCGCCTCAACATCACCCCACGCGATGAAGGCGAGCAGGCGAACCTGGGAGTCGTAACGAAGGAAACAACGATAGCCTGTCTGCTGCCAGGTGATAAGAAACTCTAGTGGTGACGAGCTGCAGAGACCCCCAATAAAGCTACTGCCTTGAACCAGATGTGAACTTGAGCCAAAATGATTTGAGCCAAAATGGCAACGGACCTCCTATTCCTCGTCCTCCTCCTCCTCAGGGGGGCGCGGATTGGCTGGAGCCCTGTCTCAGGTTCATGAGAATACCAAACTCGCCCTCGACATCGCCCCATATGCGACAATCAAAGGTTTGAAATACCCACGCAGTGTTCCTATCTTTTTGTGACGTCGTCGATCCATCGATTTCGCTAACTATCCGCCACGCCTTCGGCGGGGCCTGCCGGGTGTCGTGGACATCGAGCTCCCAGGTCGCGGCAAGTCGGGCCCGGGTTGGCGCGGGGTTGTGATGCAGCTCTTCTCGCCCATCGCCGCTTACGTTTGTGATAGGACGTGGGTTCCACCGCGAGGGGGCGCAGGGCAACGAATCGAAGCGAATATAGCTCTTGGGGCACTAGGCTCGTCTAGTGTCAAGAAGCGCCTGGACATCACTTTGCAGCTTGCCAGCCTCGAGGACCTGGGCGAGCTGGACGCGGAGGCCAGAGGCACGAGCACCACGCTCGCTGCGGAAGCGATCGCATACGCTCACGCATCGAAATCACATGGACCAGTGAAACCTCGCCGAACTATGCGAGTTCTGGCGCGGCGGCGACGGCGGCAGCTTCCTGCCGCAGGAGGCGGCGGCAGCGGCGACGGCGACTCCAGACATGCGACGAGTCGTGTTCGCTCCCAACCCTCCCCAACCCTCCTGCGTTGGGATCTCGCCTGGAATAGAGCACTGCGCTCTCCACCGTCCTCCTCCTCCTCCTCCTCCTCCTCCTCCTCCTCCTCCTCCTCCTCCCCCTCCTGCCTCCGGTTTCCTGCCTCCTGGAAGGTCCAGTGGAGTGGAGGGGGGGGCACGCAGACACTGCGTCCTGCTTGCGCCGCAGCCCCGTTGAGACCTCGCGGCTCCCTGCAGGGCGTGCGAAGCGTGCAACCGTCGCCACCCTGGGGGGCTGCCAAGTGCGCAACTGTCGCCACTTCCGTCGGCTCCTGGTGCGCGGACCCAGATGGCACCTCGCGGCTCCCTGGGGAACTGCAAAGCGTGCAATTGTCGCCATTCTCGTGGGCTCATGGGAGGTCCAGCGGAGTGGGAATGCGCGGGGATCCATTTGAATCCTCGCGGCTCCCTGGGGGGGCCCGCGAAGTGTGCAACTATCGCCACTTCGTGGGCTCCTGGAAGGTCGCGCGGGGTAGAGTGGTACGGGGGTTCCGTCGGGAACCGCCGAGTGCGAAACGGTCGCCACTTCCCTAGGCTCCTGAAAGGTCGCGCGGAGTGGAATGGTAATTACTGGGACCCACTTGAGACCTCGCGGCTCCCTGTAGGGTTGCGAAGCGTGAAACTGTTGCCACTTTCGTGGGCTCCTGGCAGGTCGCGCGGATTGGAGCGGCAGGGGGACCCTGAAGAGACCTCGCGGTTCCCTGCGTGGGGTCGCGAAATGTGAAAAGGCCGCCACTTCCGTGGGCGCGTGAGAGATCGCGCGGAGTGGAGTTATAGTGGGACCCGAGTCAGACCTCGTGGCTCCCTGGGGGCTTCGAAATGTGCAACTGTCGCCACTTCCGTGGGCTCTTGGGAGGTCGCGCGGGGTGGAGTTGCACGGGGACCCAATTGAGACCTCGTGGCTCGCTGGGGGGCTGCGAAACGTGCAACTGTCGCCAGCTTCGTGGGCCCATGGGAGGTCCAGCGGAGTGGGGTTACACGGGGATCCATTCGGGACCTCGCGGCTCCCTGTGGAGTGGTATGGGGATCCCGTCGAGACCTCGCGGCTGTCACCACGTCGTGCACTTCAGGGGGGGCCTGGCGGAGTCGGCAACCTTGTGACCCCTGAGCAGCACAGGGTGGGGACAATCAAGTTTTGGTTTCGGGGGGTAACCCCACCAGCCCTCTGGGCGTAGGTGGTGTAAGGCGTTTCCTTTTCCATCCCTCCCTCTTCCCCCTCGGAAAGGGGTTTATCACTGTCCCCTATTAATACACACCCCGTCCCCCAGGCGACTGGCAGCCAACCAGTAACCACAAGGGCCCCGACCCCACCATCCCTTTGTACAAAAAACGTACAAAACACACTCGACCTCCAAGTTCGGAGCATGCGCATCCAACCCGATGCGGCCTCCCCCACCATCCCTGTCAAAAAAAACGGAATACATTTGGTGGCGGCGGCGGCGGCTGCGGGGGCAGCGGCGGCGGCGACTGCGGCGGTTGCTGCGGCGGCGGCGGCGGCGGCGGCGGTGGCGGCGGCGGCGGCGGCGGTGGCGGTGGCGGCAGCGGCTGCGGCGACACCGGCTGCGGCGGCGGCGATTTGGCAGCGGGGGCGGCGGCGGCGGCGGCGGCGGCGGGGGCGACGGCGGCGCAACGGCGGCGGCAGCGGCGGCGGCAGCGGCGGCGGCGGGCAGCGGCGGCGGCGGGCGGCGGCGGCGCAGCGGCGGCGGCGCCGGCGCCGGCGGAGGCGGCGGCGGCGGCGGATTGGCCCCCAGTGGTTGGCCACCCAAAGAAGACGGTTGAATATGGTGAAACTCGGGCCAGATTCGGGTGCTACGTATGTGTTGCGAGGGCGGGTGGGGATGAGCGAGACGGCTTGCGGGCGGGGACGGAGTCTTGATCACTGCTCCCTATTAATATACATCCCCTCCCCCACGCGACTGGGAGCCAACCCAGGTCCATGCGGGCACCCCCCCAACCATCCCTTGTAAACAACCATGCAAAGCACTCTGCCCCCACCATCCCTCGTTTATGTATATATGTATATGTAGATGTATATATGTGTGTATATATATGTGTATATATATGTATGTATATATATATATATATATATATATATCGGCGAAGCACACTCGACCTCCAAATTCGGAGCATGCGCAGCCAACCCGATGCGGCCTCCCCTCACCACCCCTGTCAAAAAAAACAAGACAGAGTACACTTGGCGGCGGCAGTGGCGGCGGCTGCGGCGGCTGCGGCGGGGGCAGCGGTTGCGGCGGGGGCTGCGGCGGTGGCGGCGGCGGCGGCGGCGGCGGCGGCGGCGGCGGCGGCGGCGGCGGCGGCGGCAGCGGCTGCGCGGGCGGCGATTCGGCAGCGGGGGCGGCGGCGGCGGCGGCGGCGGGCAGCGCGGTGGCGGCGGGCAGCGGCGGACAGCGGCGGCGGCGGCGGCGGCGGCGGCGCGGCGGCGGCGGCGGCGGCGGGCGGCGGCGGCGGCGGAGGCGGCGGCGGCGGAGTGGCACCCAGTAGCTGGCCATCCAAAGACGAATCCTGCATATGCTGCGGTTCGGGCCAGGCTCGGGTGCCGCGTATGTGTTGGGAGGGCGGGTGGGAATGAGCGAGACGGCTTGCGGGCGGGTAGGGAGTCTCTTAACCCCTCCCCGCACCTCCCCCCCTGGACCTGGACGCGGGGGTTCGCGACGGGTTGGAGCGTCCAAAACGGCCTCGGCGAGGAAGCCAAAATTATTGGTGTTACTATGGTTTTGGCTCCATTTTGGCCTTTTTTGATCGATCTCCTCCGAGATGGCCCCAAGAGCGCTCCCAAGGCGCCCAAGGGTGCTCCAAGAGGGCCCCAAGAGGTGGCCAGGAGGCTCCAAAATGCCCCTAAGAGGCCACCAGGATTGCACGAGGGTTTTGGCCACATGTTGGCCTCCTTGGGGATGGGGGGCGCTGCTTAAGATGACTCCAAGAGCGCCTGGGGGAGCCCAAGATGACCTCCAAGATGGCTCAAGATATCCCAACATGCCTCAAGATGGCTCCCACGATGCTCCAAGTGGCCAAAGAGCTCCCCCAGGAGGCCCCGAAGAGGCCAACATCCTTCCAACACCTTAGGAAAATCCATGTTGTTGGCTGTCTCGCCTTTTCGCTTCTGATGGCCATCCGAAGCCTCAGGATGGCTCCAAGGTGGCCCAAGAGGGCTCCAAGAGCGCTCCCAAGGCTCCCAATAGCGCTTCAAGAGGGCCCCAAGAGGCGCCCAGGAGGCCCCAGGAGGCCCCAACAGGCGCCCAAGACCCCTCCAAGAGGCTCCCAAGAGACCCCCAAGAAGGCCCCAAGAAGCTCTCCGAACGCTTTTCGAGAGGCGTCCGGGACCGCCAAGGGGCCCCCCAGACGCTCCAAGAGGCCTCATTGGGGGACCCTTCCTCTGTGTGCTGCCCACTTCCCTGATCGAGGCAATTCCTCTGCGCATCGTTTCTGGATGGGCTGGTGAGATTACCTTTTGATCGCGAGCGCAAACGGAAGGGCCGCGCGCCGTCCAAAACTACAGAAAAAGGCTTGTTGGATTACTTTTTTTGGTCGGCGGCTCCAAGGCAACGGTCAGGGAGCGGAAGCGGCGTCCGGGATGCGGCAGGGTGCGAATTTGCGAACACAGCCGCCAATGTCGGCAAGCCAGTTCGCACCTGCAAAACAAGCTCGCAGCTGCACATGCACAGAACAAAATGAACTAAATTCACAAGCAAACGCAAATAGGCGCAGCAGCGTGAACCGAAGTAAACGAGCTGCAAGGAGAGTGCACGAAGACAGCGGAGTGAGTCGCCAGTCTGGCGCCAGACTCCAGGCCACCTGGCCACGCCGAGCGGCTGCTGGTTGGATTACGCGAAACGTCTAGAATATGTTTTACCCTGGCAACTAGTATGTCCGATGCTATGCTAGTACGGTGTACCGATATCCTGCTCACTCTGATGGGGCCTACTTGAAGGGGTCGGAGGAGCACGAAACTCTCAGGGGTTGAGGGGAGATGCTTTTATCTGGGGTGCTGGGTTAGTCACGGGCCCTTCAACCTGTTTGTTCGTAGTGAGCAGGTCCTCTATATATGTATATAATGTATATATATGTGTGTTTTCGACATATGTTTAGACAACGTTGGGTACGTCACCGGGTAATTTCAATACCGGGTCCCTGGAAGTCCCGCCCCCTTCCCCAAGGCCAGTTTCTCAGCTCCAGTTGCATTAGACTGTCCAAAGGCCCCGCGAAAGCCCCCCAGGGCCAAAAAAAACGGCCAAAATCCGGGGTGCTTTCTGGGGTGCCAATCAGTTCACCTGACCTGTTCCGGGGTGCTTTCTGGCCAGAACTGTAAGCTGAATCCAAGCGTGGCGACGGGGAACCCTCTGTTGAGCAGTGACCGACCGTCCCGTCCCGGTATTCCTATAGGCCTACCACGACGTGTTCTTAGAAACCCAAAAATGTCCTAAAAACAAAGCACTGTTCTTGTACCGTAACCCCGATGTGTTAAATCAAAACAGCATCCGCCAGAAATGTTCTAAGAACACTGCGGCAAGCAACAAAAGGTTCTTCGAACATTACTTGGTGGGCCTATAGGCAAGCCAGGACGCTTCGCCACTGCTTGACTCTGGAGGCCAATGAGGGCAGAAAGGAAGCCGAAGTTCGATCTTCGATCCTGTAACTTTCGATGGGGCGAGTTCGGCCTGCGTGCAGTGCGGCTATCGCCCGTCTGGGGCGGCGACAGCGAGGCGCCGCTTTTCACCCGCGCCGCTGGCCGCGTCGCCGGCCGGCCGGCCCAGCACGCTCCCGGCGGGCTCGGCGTGGGGCGTCAGCCACTCCATCTCCTCTCCAGCCTCGGGGAGGCAGGGGGCGGGGAGGGGAAGAGGGGAGGAGGACAAGCTAGGTGCGCTCGCGTCATGTCTGACATCCTACCCCTCCCTCCCATGCCTTACCATGGCGTAGATCCCCTCTCTACTCGCACAGCCAGATGTTGAGCAAGGCAATGATCCCGAAAGGGTACGCGATGCATTGTAGAGCACGGCATGGCATGGCGTAGAACAGCACCGCAAAGCGTAGTATGTCACAGCATGGCGTGGCGTGGCGTAGTGAAGAATTGCATCACAAAGCTTTGCAACGCAAAGCATGGCATCGCACAGCGGCCCCGAACAGAACATTGCATAGCATGGCGTTGAAGATCAAAGCGTAGCATGGCATAGCATGACGTGGCACTTACGCACTGGATATGACAGCTGCAGCTGAAGGCGAGGCATCGCGCAGCGGAACGCAGCCTAGCATTGCATTGCATGCCGTGGCATGGCACGGGAAGTGACGCCAGCGGTGCAGCGGGAGCACGATTCGGAACGAGCGGAAGCGCGGAAATGAGGCCAGCGCCGCAGCGGGAGCACGATTCGGAACGAGCGGAAGCACGGGAATGAGGCCAGCGCTGCAGCAGGAGCGCGATTCGGAACGAGCGGAAGCCCGAAAATGAAGCCCGCGCCTCAGCGGGAACATCATTTTGTGTAAAATGAACCCGGCAAAGCAACCTAACAGCGATGCGTATGAGCATATCTGGAAGCATTCCCCTTAAGATGCAGGTGAGAATCCAGTTGTAGAATTCTGCTGTTCTCGCAGTCGCAGTCGCATTCGCAATGACAGTCGCAGTGGCAACGGCCTTAGGATCCAAAGGAATCCTAAGGATTCCTAGGGATTCCTAAGGCATCCTTAGGCATCCTTAGGAATCCATAGGAATCCTTAGGAACCTTAGGAATCCTGATTCCTAGGGATACCTAGGGATTCCTAAGGATTCCTAGGGAATCCTAAGGATTCCGAAGGATTCGCCTGCCTCGGCCTCAGCCTCAGCCTGCCTCAGCCTCAGCCTGCCTCAGCCTCAGCCTCAGCCTGCCTCAGCCTCAGCCTCAGCCTGTCTCAGCCTCAGCCTGCCTCAGCATCAGCCTCAGCCTCAGCCTCAGCCTGCCTCGGCCTGCCTCGGCCTCAGCCTCAGCCTGCCTCGGCTTGCCTCAGCCTCAGCCTCAGCCTGCCTCAGCCTCAGCTTCAGCCTGCCTCAGCCTCAGCCTGCATCGGCCTCAGCCTCAGCCCGCCTCAGCCGCAGCTTGCCTCAGGCTCAGCCTCAGCCTGCCTCAGCTTCAGCCTCAGCCTCAGCCTGCCTCGGCCTCAACCTCAGCCTCAGCCTCAGCCTGCCGCGGCCTCAGCCTCAGCGTCAGCCTCTCAGCCTGGGCCTGCATCCACCTCGGCCTCAGCCTCAGCCTGCCTCAGCCTCAGCCTCAGCCTGCCTCAGCCTCAGCCTGCCTCAGCCTCAGCCTCAGCCTGCCTCAGCCGCAGCTTGCATCCGCCTCAGCCTCAGCCTCAGCCTCAGCCTTAGCCTGCCTCAGCTTCAGCCTCAGCCTCAGCCTGCCTCGGCTTGCCTCAGCCTCAGCCTCAGCCTGCCTCGGCCTCAACCTCAGCCTCAGCCTGCCTCAGCCTCAGCGTCAGCCTTTCAGCCTCAGCCTGCATCAGCCTCAGCCTCAGCCTCAGCCTGCCTCAGCCTCAGTCTCAGCCTGCCTCAGCCTCAGCCTGCCTCAGCCTCCTGAGCCTGCCTCGGCCTCAGCCTCAGCCTGCCTCAGCCTCAGCCTGCCTCAGCCTCAGCCTCAGCCTGTCTCAGCCTCAGCCTGCCTCAGCATCAGCCTCAGCCTCAGCCTGCCTCGGCTTGCCTCGGCGTCAGCCTTAGCCTGCCTCGGCCTCAGCCTCAGCCTCAGCCTGCCTCAGCCTTAGCCTGCCTCAGCCTCAGCCTGCATCAGCCTCAGCCTCAGCCTGCCTCAGCCGCAGCTTGCCTCAGCCTCAGCCACAGCCTCAGCCTCAGCCTCAGCCTCAGCCTCAGCTTCAACCTCAGCCTCAGCCTGCCTCGGCTTGCCTCAGCCTCAGCCTCAGCCTGCCTCGGCTTGCCTCAGCCTCAACCTCAGCCTGCCTCAGCCTCAGCGTCAGCCTCAGCGTCAGCCTCTCAGCCTCAGCCTGCATCAGCCTCAGCCTCGGCCTCTACCCACAGCTGGCCCCGGGCAATCAAAAATATGGTACAGGAATGGTGTTCCGGGAACACGAAGAACACGACGAAGTGGCCTACAATTGGCTCCGGGCATTCAAAATCTTGCCTGGGAATGTTCTGGGAACGCGAATAACACGAAGTGGCCTACAGCTGGCCCCGGGCATTCAAAATGTAGCCTGGGAGTGGTGTTCTGGGAACACGAGGAACACGAAGTGGCCTACAGATGGTTCCGGGCATTCAAAATCTGGCCTGGGAATGGTGTTCTGGGAAGACGAAGAACACGAAGTGGCCTACAGTTGGCTCCAGGCATTCAAAATGTGGCCTGGGAGTGGTGTTCTGGGAAGACGAAGAACACGAAGTGCCCTACAGTTGGCTCCGGGCATTCAAAATGCGGCCTGGGAGCGGTTTCCTGTGAATGGATTCCTAAGGATTCTTCAGAATTCCTAAGGATTCCTGGAGCTGGCGGATCTGTCCGGTTCCTTGTCCAGTTCCCGCCCAGACCCCCCTGGGAGTCATGGGGGGTCAGGGCGTGGTGAGCAGGGTAGTAGCGCGCGGCCCCTATGGCCGCTTCCCTGGGCATGCCCGTCATAGCCATGAAATCGATGTTCTGGTAGCCTTTGGATCCTTGATGTGGTCTGCCAAATTGAAGTTCTTGGAGGCCGGGACAGCGGAACCCTGGAGGTCCACGAAATGATTGTCCGTGTGTGCACCAGTCATGAAATTGGAGTCCTGAGAAGCCGCGAAATCGGAGGCGAGGTGCTTCGTGAAATTGATGTCCCTGGAGGCCTTGAGCCCTGGTAGGTCGCGCCGTGGACTTGGGGCGTGGCGGATGAGGTGGGAGGCCGCTTGGAGGGTCGCATCGTCGTCGCAAGCGTCGTCGCGGCGTCGCGGTGGGAGTCGCGGGGGGTGGCGGAGGCGTCGGAGGGGGCGTCGGCGGGGGCGTCGACGGGAGCGTCGTGGCGGGGGTCGTCGAAGCTCACGCCAGTGGCCCACAGCGTGCGGCTGCCACACGGTATGCCCGCAGTGCCGCGGGTGGCCTTCCTGGCCGCCTCCTCGGTGTCGAAGCAACGTAGCCGTGGTCCTGCGGGATGCCGTCGCCGTCGGCAACGATGTGAGATTTGCGGATCCTGCCGAAGAGGCTGAATGTCGCATGCAAAGCTGCATTGTCGGGACAGTCCGCCGACTGGAAGTCGAGTTGGGCGTCGTGCGGGCGTTTTGTTGGGGGGTCGGGTGCGTCGAGGGGCGTCGGGATGGGCGCATTGTGAGCGGTAAGGAAGGGCGTCGGGGTGGGTGAGTGGTGAAGCGTGCAAAGGGTCGTCGGGTTGAGCGTCAGAAAGGGCGTGAGTTTGGGCGTCAGCTAATGTGTCGGGAAGGTCGTCGGGCGGGGCGTCGGCGGGGGCGTCGCCCGACGCAGCGGAAAAGACGGCGGAAGGAGCGGCGGGGGCGGCGGGGGTGGTCGGGACGGTCGTCGGCGGTGTCGTACGTCGGCGCAGCGTGGCCTGCGACATGGCCTTGTCGATGGCCTGTTTGACGCATGCGACGTCGGGGTAAGATACCGTAGGTCGGGCCGCAGCTGCCTCCAGGTAATCATAACTGTCGTTGGTCTCCGCTGGGATGAAGGTGGCCGCATACGGGGTCATCATGTGGTCGGTATTGGTGCTGGCGCCTGCTCTTGTAGCGGCGGCGTCTTGTTGGGGTCTGGCTCTGCAACTGGCCAGGAGCATGGCAATGTTTTTGGCGGAGACGACGTGCCCTGTTTTTTTTTCATGCCGCGTATGCGATGCAGCACCTTGCAGATGACGTAAGATTTGTGGTCCGTGATGTAGGTGTTGGCGCCCTCGGCCCCATTCCACCTATGGGGCCGGTGAGTCTCGGCCGAGGGCTGGTATGCTCGTAGCTCTTGGTTTCGCACTTCTTCGCGGGTATCCAAGCCGCCAGGGCGCGCAGCCGTGGCGCCGCGCTGGTCGCCGCCGCGTGCGGGGGGCTGGCGGGCCCCCCTTGAGCCAAAATGGCTACGGACCTCCTCCTCCTCCTCCTCCTCTCTCTCTCTCTCTCTCTCTCTCTCTCTCTCTCTCTCTCTCTCTCTCTCTCTCTCTCTCTCTCTCTCTCTCTCTCTCTCTCTCTCCCATCCCAGGGGGGGGCGAGCCCCCGCGGAGTCCACGCATGCAACGTCCTGCTCGACGTCCATCTCCCCGCGCGATCCCACCGCCAGGCGCCCACTATGGACGCGGCCGAGACGGCGACGCCCCCCCAGCTGCAGCTCCACGCCCACGATCTCACCAGAGAGCCGCACGGCGGCGGCCGACGGCCGCAGCTGGCCGCAGCCGCAAGCTGCCCAGCCTTAGCCTGCCCCCATCGGAGTGCGGCCGAGGCCTGCACGAGAGGAGAGAGCCCTCGACCAGGGCCCAATCAGCTTCTGCATCCTCCTGCAAGCTCGCCTCGGGGTACCTTTCAGGCGGGGCGAGGAGGGCGAGGAGCTCGCTGTCCTGCGGCCATGGCTGAGAGCCACCACGGCGGAGCGCAGGCTGCGCGTCCAGCAGGGCCTCGCCCAACAGCTCCAGGAGTGGCCGCAGTAGGTCCCAGCTGCGGCTGGCCACGCATGCAGCAGGCTGCGATACCAGGCCTCGCTGATGCATGGCCGCGGAAAACTGCTGGCAGTTGACGGCCAGCACCTGGCCAAACTCCCTCTGCGAACCTCCGAGGTCGGCCATGTCGAATGGTCGTCGTGGCTTCGGGCCTGTCCGCAGATGCTTGCACCGCATCCAGTCTCCAGAGGGCGGCTGCCCTATCGGCCACAGGGGCCATGTGCAGGAGCAACGCAGCAGCGCCCGCAGCAGCAGCAGACGCCAGAAGCAGGATACCCGCCCTGATCCCAGCATTTTCTCTGCGCGGCGTCGTAGCCCAATACTTGCTCAGCCTGTCCGCTCCCCAAGGGCGGTCATGAGGTCGAACTGGCAAGCTCTTGGCACTGCTCGAGCCCTGCACAGTCGTCCACGATGCAGTCGGCGGCGCGACAAGAACTCCAAGCACTACGCCCGATTGGATCCTTGAGATCAGTTTGCCTAAGGAATCCTCCAATTTCGGGAATGTGATGGCTCATTGCAATCAATATATGATGCAGTCCTGTTGAGAACACCAGCGTCTCTACCCATGATATCGCCAAAGTCATCCTCCAGTCTGGGGCCCCACCCCAAGTGTAAGACGCATGTATGCACCTGATGTCCCTGGGGGCCGATGGGCAGCGGCTGCAGCTCGGAAGCCCACTGCGCACATGGCGGTAGAGGCCTCTCATCAGGCACGGCTGCCTGACGTAAACCAGGGATCACAGGGCGAAGCGGCGCATTTGACCTGAGTCCTTGCTTCCGTTTGTCCGCCGCGATCTCATGGTCATGCCCCTGCCACTCCGCAACAGCATCTGCTTCCAGTGGTGCAGCAGACGCCAGGAGGTATTTGAGACAAGCACCAGTAGGCCTCCGCAAATGCCGCACCAGTCCTGCCCGATCGGAGAAAATGGCCCCACACCAGAGACAGTCAGTTCCATCTGCAAATAACTGCGCCGCGTCAACAGGTCGGTGCTTCCTGGTCCAATGGCCTCTATACCCAGCAATGGTGGTGAAGCTCTGGTCGCACTCGTAGCAGAAGAAGGCTGTTTGTTGTCCATCAGTGCCCGCGGCACCCAGTAGTCCAGGAAACACATGATTGATCTTTCTCTGCATGAAATCGTTCCTGCACTGGTCCAAGCATTGGGTTTGATAGTTGCTCCAGGCGCTGCGAAGGTGCATGTGGAATATCCTCAGGTCGGCGGCGACAAACTTCATCCTCTCAGCGAGCCCCTCGATGGCATCAGGCGATGCTTCGGGGATTTCGGCACAGCAACAGCGCATCCAGGCAAAATCATCCGCTAAAGCGAGGCCCAAGGCATAGGTGCACCAACTGTAGCATCCAAAACCAGTCGTAGGGTCGGTGATCCTGCATGCATGAGCCTGGCTACATATCGGAGCCTACGAAAGCGTAGCACCTGCTTGGACCCCATTCGGCCTGAAATGGCCAGCACTTCGGCATATGTTGCATGGTTCTGCGTCGCAGCGCCGTGCAGCTTCTCTGTTGCCACCCTGTAGCCCGAGACCAAGGAATGATTCAACTTCGCGAGGCTCGTACTGGACAACTGATTCCAGGTCTCTGCCTGGAAGAAAAGACGGGCGCTGCACAACGCGTCGATACACTTGAGCTTATCCTTTGTGGCGGCGTCGTGCTTGATAAAAGCTGACCGCAGCGGCCTAACCGCGGCAGTGTGCTTCTGCCGTCTACGAGATACCTCCTGCCCAGCGCTGCCATCGCCAGTGTATATTCCTCCTGCGTGCTTGTAGGGAGACTGAATAGCAATACGATCGTTGGAGGAACTGTCCAAGGCCACTGCTGCTGTCATAACCATGTCCCGCTTCGCCTGAATAGAACCTTCGCCATAGTATGAGATGACAGCTGCTGTCTTCCCTCTGTCAAAGTGTAGCTTGAAACCCGAGCTGGCCATATGCTCGCGGACAATAAATACGCCCCAGCGTCGCCACTTGATCCCGCACACTCACTGGATCAAAGCAGGGAGAGCAGAACCCTGAACCATCGACAGAGGTAGCGTCCGTCATGGTGTCGCCTCCGATGGTGAGTCCCTGCGAGAAGACCTGGCTGGACTGATCCACACAGTCCATGAGGCCGAGGGGAATACCAGCCTCAATCATGTCATGCGTAATACCACGTAGGTGTCGAGCATACACCGCATTGAAGAAGAAATCGGCCAAGGGGTTCCCCGCTCGCGAACTGCGTTGCGCAACTACCCACTGTGCATCACCAGGTACTCGGAAATGTGTGAGCTTGTGGGCTTCAATAACTTGTGCCACCAAATTCTGATCAACTCTGCGGTCCACCAGAGCAGGCGCAGCCAAGATCATCTCCAATAAAGGATGGGCAATCGCTGGTGCATTGTCTAGAACCTGCGCCACATATTGTTCAGCACCTGCTAGTGGGATCCCAGCTTGTCGTAACAAAGAGTAAAAAGCCGCCACTAAGTCAACGAAGAGCAAGATCGCAATGAAACGACTTGGCTTTGCAATCTGCCGAAACACTCTAACCAGTTGCGACGCCATACCTGCACAGCGCCCCATTGATGCCCCCAGTCTGAGAATCGACCATGAGGTATTTGATACACTGCCCGAGCGCCGACCGCAGGAAAGCATGATGATGCTTTATGACATCCGAGTTCAACATAATCGAACGGTACATTTCTGCCGTGAGCCTGCCCAACTTGCCTTTATGGAGACCGCACGCCAGGCCAGCCTTATGGATAGCAGCCTCTTGCACCAAGAGGCCTGTCTTCGTCGTGATGGCCCGGAGATGGGGGAGAACGGCTTCTGGCGCAACTTTGAGAGGGGCATTCTGGACCAAATCATGGCCAGGTGCTCTGTGTGCTCGTACCCCTCGGAGGCGCGTGGCGAGCCAAGACGGCGGCGGGATAGCCGCAATGTCTCGCACTAAGCCGCCGGTGCGTGCTAGCGTGAGATCATTGTACTCGTCACGCACCCCTACTTCGGAGCACTCGTAGCCGTCCTCCAGTTGGGCAAACTGGTGCCTGAGCGTCTCAGACCACTCCAGCTCTGAGGTGGCAGGGGTGCCGTCCTGCTGGAAGCGTTGTGGCAGCAGCGTATGATCGCACCGCCTCGCCTGCTTGCCGTTGAATCTCAACAACCTCTGAAGCCAGACCCATTCATGGTGGCCATCATGTAGGACAGAGAAAGCGCCGGTCTTCTTTGCCGTCTGCGTGAGGAAATCCTGGCGGTCTCGTCGCAAGCACCACCTGAGTGCGCCTGCAGTTGCCCCCATAAATAGATGAGCTGCCGCCAGTAACTCCTCCATCGTAAACTCTTCAGCCTGGAAAAAGTCACACGCCATGGCCAGCTGGCAGAGGGGGCCTTCCCACGGACATGAGAAAGCCCCATCTTGGCCACGACACTCATAGACAAACATCTGCACCTGCTTGGGCAGCAGTCGCGCAAGCAAAAGTAAAGGCTCCAGCGAGTGCCTGAATGTAGACTGTTGAGCACGCCGAACATACCTGCGAAGCCTGATGAAGGCCATGGTACCTGACTTGATGCACGGCTTTCTCGCAGAGAACCTGTATTCTGCAAAGAGTCGGGAAGTGCACCTGTTGATTGTGGCATTGAACTCGGCGACCTGGTCGTTGATGTCCGTCGCCCATGTTGCCACCGGTAGTGCTTTCAAGGCCTGCTGAAACTTGAGCTGGCGAACATGATCGCTTAGTTGTTGTCTGTCCAGCATCGGCATCCTGGGTTCAGGTGTGACATAGTGCTTGGCCGCAGCCATAGTGACTACCAACGGCCAATGGTCTGGTGATCTTCCAGCAAAATCCAGGTCCGACATGACATAACAACTTGTAGCACAATCATGGATACTCTTCTGCAGTAAAGTATAATCCAGCCTGTGCAAGGTACCGCATTGGCACGAAATGTCTCAGGATGGTCATGCGGGATGAACGTTTTGGCGATCCTCACATCGCATTGTTGTGCCAACTTCTGAAACTCAAGGCCGTTGTAGTCAATCTGACCCCGCGGTCCAACAGCGCCACGCACCCTTGAGTCATCACTGCCCATACGCGCATTCGCATCAGTCAGCACAATGGTGGGGGGATACTTGTCCAGGACCAGTCGTGCATCTTTCCACCACTGTCGTACATGCTGGGGAGGGTCCAATGAGCCTCTCTTGTGATGAGGGGCATGTAGTACAGCAACAGTGTGTACCAGCATCGGTGCACGCAACTGAACAAGAAGAAAGCGTTCGACCGCATGAATAACGTGGACGTGCTTCGCCAACACCTTGAGCGGTCCTTTCTGTCCACGCGCATAGCCAAGCTCAAGGTTCACGAGCAGCGCACACCCTAGTCCTTTGGAGATCGAACCCGTGTTCAACGCCAAAAAACCGTCGGTCACGAACTTCTCACACGGATGAGACGTCTCTTGGATACCCGCGAGCAGTACGGCCTCCTCCTCGAGCTGTAAACGAAGATGCCTCGCCCGTGCACGCTGGTCTTCTTGCCTGGCCAGGTTGTGAGCTACCTCGCTTGCCGCCTCTGGCTTTTCTTCACCTGCACAAATCGTAGCATTATTGAAGGAGGCTAACTTGTAGTTGATCGTTGTTGGTGTCCGAGAGACCTCAAGCTTACCATCTTTGAGCTCATCATCAGGAGCTCGAGATATATTCTGCTTATTTACATTGAAGTAGAAACCATCGTTCAGGAAAGGAGGAAACGGTGATGTCTCAGGATCCAGTAGTCTGGTAAACTGCCACTCAGCATCCACAGAGTACTCCAGGGCGTTTCTGGGAGCATCGGGAAGAGCAGGTGGCATGTTGGATTATTTGGTAAAGTGCCGCGAGATCGAGTCGACTGCCTCATTCCAAGGGTAGTCTTGATGCCCAGGCTCTTGGATCACATTTACTGGTCGTGCCCTCTGCACGTCGCGAAGCACAGTGGCCGCCATCTTGTCCAAGTCTGACACCAGGCGCACTCGACTGAACGCCTTGTCCACCGCCGCCACGCCATCGCAGATGGTATAAACCTGTTCGCCCCATGGAAGCTGCAGCGAAAAGATTGCGGCCCAGACCGCGCCCAAGAGTTCCACTCCTGTGCTGCGAGTCAGGTCGCTCGTGTCTGAGAGGGCGCGAGCTGTCGATGCTCGCGCAGCCACAAAGCCCTGGCACGCAAAACCCGCAGAGTCCTGCATGACGCGGGCCAGCGCAAACGCCGCCAGCTCGGGGGACTTGATGTGCAAGAACGCGTCACAATATACATGATGCATGGCCGAGCTCGCACTTGGGCGAGGAGGGCGCGTTCGCAGAGCAAGATCAGCAAAGGGATGTAAAAGCATACCTCGGTAGTCCCCAGAGAGCCTCAATTGCCACTGTACCTGACAGTAGAGCTCCGAAATAGTGGTGATCTGCTTGACCTTGCAAAATGCTGGCGGCGCTGGCTGGGAGTCTGTAAGGTCGACGAGCACGTTGGGGCCGTCAATCTCCATGCCAGCAGAATGCTGCCTTATAGCAGCACTGTCCCTCGCCATACCGCCAGGGGGGAAAGAATCCGGTGATTCGGTACCCGAAGCGAACATGCAGTTGTAGATGTCCAAGGTGAAAGATGCTCTCGGTCCGCCCGATGGCGCAAGAGAGCACGCGGTAGTGGACGCAAGGCATCCCAAAGCCTCTTGGCGATGCCCGTCTCCACCCATCGGTCGGTACCCTCTGGCACCCGTGAGCTGGCTGGGGGGTGCTGAGCAGTGCGCACCGCCAGCCGAAGCCGACGGTCGGTACCCTCTGGCGCCCCCAGCGCCACCCCTGGGCGCTGAGCAGTGCGCGCCGACGGGTGGCCGCGCAAATTCTGAACTAGCCGCGCCCGTTTGCCTAGAGCGGTCAATACTCACACCCTCACCCGCTGCTAAACGAAGATGCGAACTACTTGAATTTGTGCCAACGGAGTCCCCAATCTCGTCGGCATTGGCGCGCAGCTCATGCGCTGGGGCAAAGTGCACGGCGTGCCGCTGCTGCTTCTCGTCGGGCTTGGCGCGCGCTAAGCCCCCCCCCCCCTGTTGGGGCCGCGCCTGGTATACGAAACCCCGCCTCCTTGCGCGCCTCCTCGTTATTGCCGAGGTCGACGGGCCTGCCACGTCGGATACGTTCAGCCCGAACTTCTCCGGACCGACTCCGGGTCGAGGAGCCCTTGCGCACCTCAGTCTTGGCATCGTCGGCGGTCAGGTCGAAGCGCGCAGGGCCAGGAGGAGGCCCCCCTGGCTGGGTAGTACCAGGTATTCCACTGGACGTAGGCGAATACCAGTGTGACTGCGGGGACGCACCTGCCCCACCCTGAGGAGGCGGCGGTGGTGGTGGTGGTGGTGGCGGCGCACCTCCATCAATATGCGTACCCAGCTTGGCTGCAGCTTCTTCGTTGATCAAAGCCTGCCCGGCTTCAAATCTCGCTTGTGCCACATACTGCTGTTCGGCTTTGACCTGCCGCTCGAGCTCTGCTTCCCGCTCGATGTCGAAATCACGCTCGTACTCGTCTTGTAACAAACCTTTAGCCTCTTCATTCATACGTCTCTGTTCAGCTTCAGCTCGTGTTTCATCCTGCTCACGCTGATCGCGCACCCGCCGCTCGTCTTTGAGCATGTCGCGGTAAGCCTGCGCGGCGAAGGGGTCTGTCGAGGCAGTCGCAGAGGGAGCAGACACAGGCTTGGCCCAGGCATCGACTGCATCCGCTGGTGCAGGCATCTGCGACTGCGAAGGCACGCTTAGTGGTTCTCCCTGGGGGGCCTGCCCTGCTGGGGTGGCTGCCTGCGATTGCGACGGAATGCTCTGCGGCTGCTGCTGACGTTGACCTCTTGGAGTTGATGCAGGTGGTGTGGCCGAAGCCTCGGCCACTTTCTGCGGCGCCTCTTGAGTCTGTGGCATCACTGTCTGGCCGCTTGATGCACCAAACTGCGCGAAGAGGAACTGTAACTTGTTTGCTTGTAACTGTGTCTGTCGCTGCTGTGCCTGGATCTGCGCCGCTTGATTCTTCTGCTGGTCCAAAACGAGCTGCAGTGACGCCGTTGTCTGAGCCATAGCACTAGGCTTTCCCCCCTGCCCCTGGTCGGAAGACACAGGGGGAGGTGGAGGGGGCGGCGGCCTTGCCGCTGCTGCCTTGGCTGCGGTTTGTCTGGGCCCTGCGCCCTGCACCACTGGAGGAGGGACAGGCGGTGGCGGCCGAGCAGGCACTGACTGATGGTCAACTTCCATATGCGAACCCATATCATCATTTAAGTGCCGCTTGGAAGCCTGCGCCAAGGACTCGAGCTGCTCCTTGGCTTGAGCATATTCTTTTTGCAAATCATCCCGTTGGTTGACCGGTTCTCTCAGTTGCTTTTCAATCCTATCGAGCTTCTCCTTCACGATGTCGGCACGCTTGCTGATGGACTTCTCCTGCTCCGCAACAGGTAATAGTTGCAATCTGCCAGCCTTCAAGACAGATGCCCCTGTGATCTCTATCGCCGCTGACTTGCCAGCAGCTCTGAAAGAAATAACCAGCCCCGCCAATTGATAAATACGCCTCCATTGCTTTTGCTTATATTATTTGGCCTATTCCTTGTCATCGTCGGGTAGCGGTCTGACCCACGCATCTGAAACTTGGGCCAGGCGCGGGTGCATAGGGCCGATCTCATTGGTCACTCTGCGAACAGGTCCTTCTTTCCTTTTGCGGCTACCTGAACGTTCACGAGCTTCTTTCCTGGATCTATCACCTTTTTCATGTGACTTTTGCCTCTTGGGCTTGTCATTGCCGCATTGGTCCCCACACTGTTTGCAGTACCAGAACGTTGCGCCATTCTTGGTCGAGCACTTCACGCATGTCCAAGGCGCCATTGTACTGTGGTGTGACGATAATCGAACCCTGGCGTCTGCAACACGGAGCAAAGTGCGGTCCGCCGTGCGTTGCCTGCGCTGACGACGGTGCCAAGCGGGTTCCTGGCCACGAGTGCCGAAGGACTCCGTCGGGAGCCGCAGCGCCACAGGCAGCCCCAGCCGCCCCGAGCAGGGACCTGCGCCTCGAAAGGGCGCTGGCTGAGACCGCGAGGCCTGGCCGCCGATGGCACGGCGGACGCGCGGGGTCGCCCTGCGGGGCGGCGCGCGCGGTGGGGGGGGCGCCGCGCCCCATTTGATTAGGGCAACGCCTCTCCTCCTCCTCCTCTTCTTCCTCCTCCTCTTCCTCCTCCTCCTCCTCCTCCTCCTCCTCCTCCCCCTCCTCCTCCTCCTCCTCCTCCTCCTCCTCCTTCTTTCTATTATTAGTATTAGTGGTGTAAGTAGTATGCTTATTATTATTGTTATTCCTATTAGTATTGTTCGTTTTCTGAGTTTTCTCATCTTTCTTCGTAGCAAGATTATTATTCGTAGTATTTCTAGAACTAGTACTATTATCATTCCTCCTCCTCCTCCTATCCCGTGCACAACAGCAGGCCCTCGGCAGGAGCCCCTGGCCCTGGCACCGCTGGGGCCTCCAACGAAGCCGTGGTAAGCGCTTGGGCCACGAGGCTGTTGCAAGTGTCCTGGTCGCCATGATGCATTTCAGCATGGCCGATGAGTCTTAGCGCTGCTCTGGCCAGCGCGAAAAAAGGAACGGTGCACAAGGACGTCATCTTGAAGACACCTTACGCGAGCGGCGCTCTGGCTTTTAAGCTTATCGGCCTTCTGTCGAGAAGGCGGACAGCTTCCCTTCCGGGACGTCCAACATAGTGACATGCACTGGCATCTGCTCAGGCGTCATCCCGTCCAGGCCTCCAGGCCCGATGCCCCGCAAATGAGCCCTGGCGTTGGCCGACCTCACAGCCACCTGATGAGACACGCAACAAACAAGCGTGTCCCGACACAATCCGTGTACAGCGCGAGCGCCCCCGCAATGTGGCGGGCAACCATGAAAACTGCGAAGTAGGGAGGACAGGGACGGAAAAGGACAAGGCTCAGAGGAGAAGAAACCAAGATTCAAGAGTTCGCTGCGTCCCATGGGCGGCTGAAGGACGATCTAATGTTTGCCCTCAACTCCAAAGCCACATGTAGCCGCTGACACGAACAGAACTCGAAACAGCCATGCAAGAGGCCAGCACCGGGGGCAGGGGGGGCAGGAGACAAGGAGGAAGGCAGGAGGGAGGAAAAGGAAGTAGAATAACGAGGAGGAGGGGAAGAGGAAGGGGAGGACGGAGGAGGAAGGGAGGAGAAGGGGGAGGAGGAGGGGGAGGAGGAAAGAAGGAGGAGGGGGGAGGAGGGAAGACAACCAGCATGCCTGGCCAAAAGCTGGCCCGTGGACCCCTTCTGGGGCCCATCCTGGCTGGCTGACTGAGCCGCCTCCTGCCGCGGCGGTGGGGATCCTCCAGGGGCACCCAGAAAATCCCAGAACGACGTCAGTAATGGCAGCGACGACGACGGCAGCAGCGACGTCGACAACGACAGCCGTGGCGTCGACGACAGCGACAGCGACGGCGGAGTCGACGACGATGGCGTCGACGGAGGCGTCGCGACGACGACGACGATGACGACGACGACGACGACGACGACAACGAACGACGGCGACGTCGACGTCGACGGCGTCGACGTCAGCGAAATTCGTCGTCGACGACGGCGTCGACGGCGGCGGGGACGACGGCGACGAGCCTCGCCGTCGCCAGCGGGCGCGCCGCTCTCGGCGGCCGGGCAGGCGCCCGCGCCGCCAGTGCCGCTGCTGCTGCCGACGCCGTAGCAGAGGAAAAGGGACAGCTGCGCGAGGCCGAGCAGGAGGCCGACGGCAGAGGGGCGGGGAAGAGGAGGAGGAGGAGGAGGAGGAGGAGGAGGAGGAGGAGGAGGAGGAGGGGGAGAAGGAGGAGGAGGAGGAGGAGGCGGGGAGGAAGAGGGGAGGAGGCGAGGAGGAGGGAGGAGGGGGAGGGGATGAGGGGGAGGGAGAAGGAGGGAAGAGGAGGGGGAGGGGGAGGGGAAGGAGGAGGAGGAGGAGGAAGAGGAGGAGGAGGAGGGGATTGGGAGGGAAGGGGCGAGGAGGGGAGGCGGGGAGAGGAGGAGAGGCGGGGAGGAGGATGAGGAGGAGGAGGAGGAGGAGGAGGAGCAGGAAGAGGAGAAGGAGCAGGACCAGGATGAGGAGGAGGAGGAGGAGGAGCAGCAGCAGCAGGAGGACCAAGGATCGGTGGGAGGATCGAGGATCGAGGAGAATCGAAGATCCAGAAGGATTGAAGGTTGAGGAGATCATCGTTTCGATGGGCCGGCATCGAAGAAGAATAAGAAGAAGGAAGCGAGCATGCATAAGCAGAAAGCATAAACTGGCTCCGCACGGATCTCTTGGATCGTCGCTGGGTCCGCCTGCCGGTGCCTCGAACGCCGCCTCTTGCGCGATCCGCGCGCCGGGGAGGGCGTCCAGCGCCGATCCAAGATCCGAAAGTGTATGTGCGTGCAGTTGCTCCTCCTTCGAGGGCATTGGGTGGGAGGAGAAAGATGAGGGGACGAGGGGGGCAACGAGGACACTGTGAGGAAGGGGAGAGGGAAGGAGGAGGGGGCGGAGGCAACTCCTAAAAGGTCTTCGTCAGAACGATTCAGGACTACCAGGCCAGATCAAGGCCGGACTGAGCGGGAGTAGGCCAGATTGAGCGGAACTGAGCGCATTGGAACAAGATTGTGCCGTATTGGGCAGGATCTCGACCACGGGTATACCAACGCTGATGATGGATTCAATATCCCAGAGGTTGCATGCGAAGGGGCGAGGAGCACTACTGGGGGGAAGTAGCGGGCAAGGAGGAGGGAGAGGAGAGGTCGTCGGCGAGGGGGCAATGGGGAGAGGGGAACTTGGGGCCCTCTGCGGCTGTTGCCGCTGTGCTCTCTTGAGGTGGAGACGGAGCACGCACGCACTGGGCACCCACCCCAGAGGTGGAAAGGCGGATCGACTCCGGAGGGAGGAGGGGGGCGAAGGGGAGGACAAAGGGAAGAGGACGAGGTGGGGGGAGGGCGAGGACGGGGAGAGCGGGGGGGAGAGGGGGGAGGCGGGGGAGGGACAGAGCAAACCCAAAATGCATCGACGATGCTGCAATACGCCCACCCGTTCTCCCCAGAATCCCGTGCATGTACTCACTTTCGCTACGGGAAGTGCCCTTTGGAACGCGAGAGCCTCATGGTCCTGCAATTCAGGCGAGTCATGTTTTGAAAAGGAACTGCCGTCCATGCTTCTAGCTCTAAGGACGGCACCAAACTTGGATCGTACATGTGTTTGTTATATCTATACACAAGTGTTGTAAATCACAAACAAAACCAATGTTATCCCATGTTGCACGTCTGGTCATTTAGTCCGCCAAACCCCGCTTGCCGGGGGTGAGAAGGCGTGTGAGATGATTGGCTGTCCCCCTTCTTCTTTCCCTCTCCCCAAGGGTCGTCCAAAATCTCGTCTGAGAGAGGGGGAAGATCCAGGCTCGCTGGCGCACGACAGGAGACTCCGGAGCTTCTAAATCGGCCTTCCCTGGCCTGAAAGACGTTCCAAGACAATACCGAATTGCTGAACGATTGGCCAAAGACGCTGACGATGGCTCCAAGCAGCCCCATGACGCCGTCAAGACGCCCCAACAGCCTTCCTAAGTGGCCTCCGAGAGGCAAACATGAATGGTTTTCCTTCTGGTTCTCGCATTCTTTTCTGCTTTCCGACGCTACAGGACGGCCCAAGAGGCCCCAAAGAGGCCCCCAAGACAGCCCAAGAGGCCTCCGCAGGGGCCCTCAGACGGCCTAAGAGAGCCCCAAGACGTCCCAAGAGGCGCCCAAGATGGCCCAAGAGGGCCCCAAGGCGGCCCAAAAAACGTTCCAAGACGGTCCCGAATCGCTGAACGATTGGCCCGAGACGCTGACGATTGCTCCAAGACGCTCCAATACGCCTTCGAGACGCCCCAAGAGTCGTCCCAAGAGGCCCCGAGGGGCAAAAACAAATAGTGTTCCTAAGGTTTGGGGGGAATTTTGGCGCTATCGTCTTCTCTGTTTTCCGACGCTCCAAGACGGCCCAAGAGGCCCCCAAGAGGCCCTCAAGACAGCCCAAGAGGCCTACAAGAGGGCCCAAGGCGGCCCAAGAGCGCCCCAAGACGGTCCAAGAGGCGCCCAAAACGGTCCCAAGAGAGGGAACACGAACCGAAAATCCGATACTTGCGCCCCAAGATGCCCCCAGGAGGCCCCGAGAGGCCTTCGGAACGCCCCAAGAGCCTTCCCCAGAGGGCCCCGAGGCAAAAATCTGTTGTTTTTCTCTATGGCTTTTCTTTGTTCCTGGGGTCTTCGTCTTCTCAAGATTCCAACGCTCCAAGACGGCCCAGGAGGCCCCGTACTTAGACCAGCCCAAAACTGCACGACAGGCCCCTACGAGAGCGGTCCAAGAGGTTCCCACGACGGCCCAAAGGAGGGGCCCAAGGCGGCCAAAGATTGCGCCAAGAGAAGCAAATAGAGAAAACACAAATGAAATATCCGAGATTCCCCCCAAGAGGCCCCCCACAGGCCCGAAGAAGCTCCCAAGCGGCCCAAAAGATGCCCCCAATAAGCGCCAAGAGGCCCCCAAGACCCAAAATTGGCCCGAAAACGGGCCCCAAGACAGCTCCCAAGACGCCCACAAAAGTTCCCAAATAGTGCCCAAGAAGCAGACGGCGCCTCAACCGTGGACTCCCCGCCTCTTCTGGAAGTCGGCGGAATGGCGTAAGCCTCTTGAACATAGTAGGAACTCTCCAGCGAGAGGGCCCCGACTTGAAAAACAACCGCTATCCACCAGTGTGACCGTTGCAAAAATATACGCCTAACCATCCGGATCCAAGAAATGACAAACAATATTCGGTTTCGAACAAGTCCCGCCCTCAATCCGAGCATCGGTTGGAAATTGCTAAAATACATGTGTTCGGCGGTGGGGCGAAAACCCTCGTGTTCTAAAGGAACCACCCTCCACCCGTGCAAATGTTGATACATGTATCTATACGACCACCCTGCGGGTGATAAGGAGGTTGGGGCGGGGGGGCAGCAATGGGCAAACGTGGTGATTGTTGTTCTGACGCTGTTGTTCTGTCGATTCGCTTTTCGATTTGCATGTCGACGTGAATTGGAAAGCGCTCCGCGGCGCCCACGGCGCCTTACGATTTGCATTTGGATGTACAAATCGATTTGCAGTTCGATGTGCTTTTCGGTCTGCATGTCGGTTAGCATGCAGACTTGCATTTAGCTCGCCGCAAGCGGCGATGTTTTGAAATGCACAACCCACGGCAGGACACCAGCGGGACACCAGCGGGACACCGCGGGCCAGCGTTTGACAGGAGGAGCATCATTTGGTCCGGCCGCGGCCCAGCCACAGGAGGATTTCGGGATACCAGCGGGACACCTGCGGGACACCGCGCGCCACCGGCCGCCGGAGGAGACTCATTTGGTCCGGCCGCGGCCCAGCCACAGGAGGATTTCGGGACACCAGCGGGACACCGGCGGGACACCGCGGGCCACCGGCCGCCAGACGGAGAATCATTTGGTCCGGCCGCGCCTCAGCCACAGAAGGATTTCCTCTCGCCCGCCCACGCAGCTTCGCCTCGCCCGCACGCACGGCACGCACGAACACGAAACCGAAACCGATTTCCCAGTGGGGGGGGCTCTCCGTTCCACTTCGATCTCACCCCCCAAACTCCGACGCACGCGGCGTTAAGGCGAGGGCCACAGGTTGAAGGCTGCCCGAACTCCATCCGTGTAATTGGTGTTAAAGTTTAGCACGAATGTTCAGGCGATACGGCGAAAGCCAGATTTTGAAAACGAACCCTTTATTTATTTGTGTAGCTGCTGATCTAATGTATGACAACTGGGCGCGGCGCTAAGGCGATCATGACATATTGACCGCCCCATTACATCCATATAACTGTTTCGTCCCGTGGCAATGCCGTTGAGTTTGTTTT